CTGACCTCCAATACGAGGCGCATCTCTCCCACTTACCTCCAATACGAGGCTCATCTCTCCCACTGACCTCCAATACAAGGTGCATCTCTCCCACTGACCTCCAATACAAGGGGTATTTTTTCCCACTGATACCCGTTGAATTGGTCTTAGAAGATGTTTTACCTGAAAATTATTTTAAGGGTTCCTCTGATTAAGGCTGCTTTAGCTTTGGAGTTTTTTTTTTTTAATTCCTACAGAACAAATCATTTGTGTCACTCGAAACCCTAGATGTGGGAAAAAGCTCTCCTAAGTCTTAGTATGTATGGTAAGATGTCTTAAAATGAAACAGCAAGACAGCATTTGCTCAGCTGTATCATTGCCTGATGTACCTCCTACTGGTCCACGTTGCTGGTGGACTTGTTAAACAAATGGGCTTATACAAATCATAAGATTGACGTCTATGGTCCAGTAACTCAAAGCAGCCAATCAACAATTAAGAATTAATTGTCTCCAAAACCTACGTCAGCAGAAATCGGATTGCTGTAGGTTACTGCATCTTGCACATCATGATTAGAGTATGGTGTCCCTGATTAAATATTCTGGTTCACCCAACACCACTAGAACTTAGAAATAGAACTTAGATTAATGGAAATAACATTTCACAAAACTGAGTTGTAAGATTTCAGTTTGTGAGATATATTATTCAATAATTCAAGTGTGCAAACCATTTTGAAACTTGTGAACAGGGGCAGACTGACCATTTGGAAACTCAAGCACTGCCCGAGGGCTCGGGTCAGTAGGGGGGCCCCATGAGATGCCCCTGGTACCTTTTTCATAGGCTTTTTTGAGTTTGGGCAAAAAGACACAGGGGCCCCATGATCCCCTATTGCCCGGGGGCCCCATGAGCTGTCAGTCCGCCCCTGCTTGTGAATAAGCAAATTATAAGACAGGCCATACATGATTAATTTTTTTACGGTTCAACCAGCACTTTGAAGGAAAAAAAAATGACCCAATTCCCCCATCCACACACTCAATGTGGATGGGGTATCCTCCCACTGTTCTGTGTCCTGATGGCAGGGAGCCTTCCATCACATTGATCAGTGTTCCAAGGTATAGCGTGGAACTGATTGTTCAGGGAAAACACGATAGGCTGGTTGTACACAAGTCGATTGGTTGATCAACTTCTGTACAACCAGCCTGCCTAAACATGGATCAAAATTTGTTCGGATCCTATTAAACTGGCCCAATTATGATTCATGTATGGTCATCTTAAGCAGGGGCGGACTGACCATTTGGAAACGCAGGCACTGCCTGAGGGCCCGGGGTCAGTAGGGGGCCCCATGAGATGGCCAGCCTTAGCCAAACTGTAGATGATTCCATTTTATTTCCTGCCAACACGGATGGAAGGAAAGAAGAATGCCTCAAGTAGTGCTATTGTACTTTGCTGGTAGGGAGCCTTCCCGGCCGGCAGAACACAATGATTACTGCTAGCTTCTAGAGTCACCAGCAGCAATCGCATGTAAAAAAAATCCAGCAGGCTGGTTTTACCTAAATCAACTGATGGATTGACTTGGGTACAGGGGCGGACTGACCATTTGGAAACTCGGGCATTGCCCAAGAGCCCGGGGTCAGTAGGGGGCCCCATGAGATGCCCCTGGTACCTTTTTCATAGGCTTCTTTGAGTTTGGGCAAGGACACAGGGGCCCCATGATCCCCTATTGCCCCAGAGCCCCATGAGTTGTCAGTCCGCTCCTGGTCTTAAGCAGACATATTGGGTAAGTTCAGATACACCAATTTGGCATTAGTAATGACAATAAATTAGGAGAGTTTTTTTGACTGCATAGCAAAGCATATTAAACACAGAATTCCACAAGCCATCAGGAAACCACCTTGCACTAGAACTGTTGATCTATGTAAACATTTCTCTTAATCCTTTGCCCCCCCCCCAAAAAAAAAAAAAAAAAAAACAAGCACAGCATCAAGGTTGTCAAAAGCAAGCAGTCATCTTCTACTTTTCATTTGAAAAACAAAATCAAAATTGTTATTGGTTACCTATGGCAATGGCTCCAATTTTATTCTTTTCTTTTCTCCAGTCTACGTGAATCAGCTCCTCTTTATAAAATATAGACAAATGTACACTCTATAAACAAGTCACGGACTATACCTATTTTTTGCGTCTAGGGTGCTGTGGGTCAAAATATGCAAACATAAAAGTGCTAAAGGAACTGGTGCTTGAAAACTGGAGAAAAGAAAGTCAAGATAATTAGATGTTGGCCATCCAACCCTTTTCTGGAGGTATCAAACAAGAATTTATATCAACCGCTATTGGCGAAATCTCCAAGGAGAGTATGATATAAAGAGAGGATTAGGTTGAGTTGGTACGTTTCCAGGGAAAATGTTTTCCCTCTAGGGAAAAGTTTCCAAAACCTGTACTGCACCTTGATATTCAGTAACAGCTGTCAGCTTTGCATTACAGGTGCACCCACCTTGCAATGTGCTATCCCCAGCCATGCAATGTCAGGAAGAAGTCCGCATCTGACACACTGCTGCCCTCCCTGGAACAATCTTCAGAGGGACAAGGGGAACAAGAGCCCGGAGACAGAGGCATAGAACCTGAGTCCGCTGAGCAGCTGCTCCCACATGGAGACAACCCATCAGAACTTGGACCTCCTTGGCCGTTCTCTCCATTTTGCCTGTCCAGAAGCAGAGCCTGGAGTGCCCTGATGTACTCCACGGCTGAGCGTAGGGTTTCCACCTTGCTCATCTTCTTGTTGGGCCCTTGAGCTTGGGGCACATGCTGCCTGAGCTTGGCAAAGCCCATGTTGACCAGCTTTACCCTGTTCCTCTCCCTTTCGTTACGCCTCTCGGAAGTGGTGGAGATGACCCCGTTTCTGTTGCTTCCAGATCCCCCGCTGCGCCTTTGGCATCTCAGCCTCTGCGGGGAGCCCGAGTGTGCGCCACCTTTGCGCATAGTCCTAGGTGGCCTCTCTGGGCTGCTGAGCAGTAGGTTGGGTTCCTCTGAGGTCTCCATTGGGCAATGAGGTAGAACAGGTGCTTGCCTCTTCAATGAGATATACAAGGAATAGATAAGACCAGCAGCTGATCTGTCCTGTCTTTTGTGCGAAGTCCTATCCTGCAAAGTGCGAGGATCTCTGTAGAACAGGTTACTCCTCTGTCAGCCCGTCATGACTTGTCTCTTGTGATATGTCGAGCACACTTCCTTGTGCACTACAATGTGCATGCCTCTTTCTCTCTCGCCCCAGCTAGATTTCATCTCCTCCCACCAATCACCTTATACTACTTTCACTAGAGCCTTCTATTCAATGACTGAGCCCTCCTTCCTCCTTAAACTTTCTCAAGAAAGCCAAGAAGGGGGGGCCGGGGAGGTTAGAAACAATTCAAGCTTGTCAGTCTCTATGATGGACAGCTAATAGAAGACATTTTCTTAAAGAAGGGGTTGCAATTCTATACATACGCGGCACATCAATGCCTGGAGATTTTACAGTTCCTAGAATTAAATTGTAATTCTAAGAGGGATATCGGATGAAAATGGAGAAAGTCAAAAGGAAGGTTGGTCCTTCTTCAAATGTCATTTTTGTTCTGCTAGGGCAGTAAGACAACAAAAGCGGTGTCGGTGGCGGTGTCTCTACTTTTTATATGTCCTTTTATCAAAAATAATAGGCAGCAATGGAGATGAAACATTTCTCTGTGTTCAATAAAGAAATTACCAAGTGTAATGCCCCGTACACACGATGAGAATATCGGACAAACGATTGGACGTTTTTTTTTTTTCTCCTGCTAGTCTCACATCGAAAGTGAAAAGGTTACTAAAGACATGAAAATTCTCCTATGAAAGAAAAGAATTTTGAAAGTGATGTCATGTATTGCGTTGTATTTGTATTGTTTTTTCAGACGACTACTGTACTGATTAAACGAAAATCGTACGATCTGGTATTGTACGAGAACTGATTAAATGAAAATCGTACGATCTGGTATTGTACGAGAACTGATTAAATGAAAATCGTGCGATCTGGTATTGTACGAGAACTGATTAAATGAAAATCGTACGATCTGGTATTGTACGAGAACTGATTAAATGAAAATCGTGCGATCTGGTATCGTACGAGAACTGATTAAACTAAAATCGTACGATCTGGTATTGTACGAGAACTGATTAAATGAAAATCGTGCGATCTGGTATCGTACGAGAACTGATTAAATGAAAATCGTACGATCTGTATCGTATCGTACGAGAACTGATTAAATGGAATTTGTACGATCTGGTATTGTACGAGAACTGATTAAATGAAAATCGTGCGATCTGGTATTGTACGAGAACTGATTAAATGAAATTTGTACGATCTGGTATCGTACGAGAAAAATTTTTGCGCTTGTCCCTTCAGATATTGTTGTACGAATTGTCGTGATCGGCTCTCAAAAGCTGTGTACTAACGATCCCATTGTCGGACGATCGGTCCTCGTACGAAAATTTTCGTACGATTTTCTTATAGTGTGTATGAGGCATTAGGCTCCATGTACAGGGGACACTTCTGAACGATGGAAACAGACTGCTGGAAAACATAGGTTAAAAAACGTCTGTTTCGCTGCATTTGCATACCGCGTTTATGAGCGTTTGCGTTTTAGAAGTGTTTTTTTTAACCTCTAGCCTACAGGGCACTTATACCCCCTTCCTGCCCAGGCCAATTTCCAGCTTTCAGTGCTGTCACACTTTGAATGACAATTGCGTGGTCATGCAACACTACCCATATGAAATTTTTATAATTTTTTTGAGACAGATGGAGCTTTATTTTGGTGGCATTTAATCACCTCTGGGATTTTTATTTATTTCTTAAACAAACCAAAAACCACAGAAAATTTTGAAGAAAAAAAAAAGTTTTTGTTATACAATTTTGTAAATAAGTGATTTTTCTCCTTCACTGATGTGCGCTAATGAGGCTGCAGTGATGGACACTGATAGGTGGCACTGATGGGCACTGATGAGGAGGCACTGGTAGGTGGCACTGATGGGCATTGACAGGCATCACTGATGGGCACTGAAAGGCAGCACTGATACATGACACTGATAGGCGGCACTGATAGGCGGCACTGACTGGCACTGATAGGCGGCACTGACTGGCACTGTTAGGTGGCACTGATAGGCGGCACTGACTGGCACTGATGTGCACTGATGGGTGGCACTGATTGGCAGCATTGATAGGTGGCACTGACTGGCACTGATGGGTGACATTTAAAAGGCAGCTCAGATGGGCACTGATGGGCACTGGCACTGATGAGCATTGACAGGTGGCACTTCTGGGGCCACACTGATCATCAGGGCACACTGGACCCTGCATTCACTATATCCGCTCTCCCCGGACCCTGAGTACACTATATCCACTCTCCCTGGAGCCTGCGTTCACTATATCCGCTCTCCCCGGACCCGGCATTCACTATATCCGCTCTCCCCGGACCCTGCGTTCACTATATCCGGTCTCCCCGGACCCTGCGTTCACTATATCCGGTCTCCCCGGACCCTGCGTTCAATATATCCGGTCTCCCCGGACCCTGCGTTCACTATATCCGGTCTCCCCGGACCCTGCGTTCACTATATCCGCTCTCCCCGGACCCTGCGTTCACTATATCCGCTCTCCCCGGACCCTGCATTCACTATATCTGGTCTCTCACAGTACACACAACATGGAAATGCAATTATTTTAGTAAATATAAACTGCTAATTACCTTTTCTCATCAGCAGTTAGAGCAGTCTTGTGACTTCTATCCGTGTCCAGCAGAGCACTGGTTAAACCTTGTAGGAGGAGTTTTCATTCTCCATTGATTGTCCTATGAGGCTGCATGACCGCAAAGAAGAGCATGCAATTTGAATAGGAATGTGATTCCTTTCCAAATCGCATGCAGTTTACCCACTGCTCCTGTGTGAACCCAGGCTTGTCATAGTCCAAACTGTCATCGCTGCAAGGAGAGGAAAGAAAGCGCCGGGGATTTCCAATCTACCGCTCCTCTCCTACCACTGACACTAAGCATGGGATCGGAGCAGGGAGGTTTCCCGCACCATTCCTGTGTGAACTTGGGCTATGACAAGCCTGGGTTCACACAGGAGCAGCGGGGAAACTGCAATCGATTTGGACAGGAATCGCATTCCTGTTCAAATTGCATGATAATCTTTGCAGTGCAATTTACGTCCATTAACACAAATCGTATTGCAAAGTATCGGTAGTATTTTCATGACTGCAAGTACTTATGAAAATACTCAGTATTGGCACCGATACTGGTATTGGTGCATCCCTAATTCTATCTTTAAAGTGGAGCGATTGGGGAGGCAGGCACTAAAAACGTGGCTCAGTTCTGTGTTTTTATTGCCCCACAATCGCACGTCTAAGCTTAGCCTAACTGCATAGCACTGAAAAAGACCAGTCAGCTTTAAAAGTCTCAGGAGCCTCACATCTGGCTTTATTGCAGAAAAGCTGACTGGTGGAAGTCCAAATTGGGGGCCCTTGACATTTGGGGAAATCCCTTTATGAATCCTTATCCAAGACCGCTGTCCAGAACTGAGAACTTTGTAAACCAGTGCAGTATTAATCTTTTATACTCTATATCAGGGGTCTCCAAACTGCGGCCCAAGAGCCAAATGTGGCCCTTTGCCTGCCTTTTTACGGCCCTTGGAGCACTATTGCTCCCATTAACACCAACAAGGAGGCACCCTTCCTTCCAATGACATCAACAGTGGGGACCATTTCTCTCACTGACACCAACAATGTGGCATTTATCCTCCCAAGACACCAGCAATGGGGCAGAATTCCACTGATATAAACAAATAGGTCCTATTGCCCCCAGTGATATTAATGATTGGGCACTATTTTCCTCCCACTGATACCAATGACGGGGCACTATTCCTCCCCACTGATACCAATGACGGGGCACTATTCCTCCCACTGATACCAATGATGGGGCACTATTCCTTCCAGTAATACCAATGATGGGGCACTATTCCTTCCACTGATACCAATGATGGGGCACTATTCCTTCCACTGATACCAATGATGAGACACTATTCCTCCCAGTAAATACCAAAGATGGGGCACTATTCCTTCCACTGATACCAATGATGGGGTACTATTCCTTCCACTGATACCAATGATGGGGCACTATTCCTCCCAGTAATACCAATGATGGGGCACTATTCCTCCTACTAATACCAATGATGGGGCACTATTTCTCCCAGTAATACCAATGATGGGGCGCTATTCCTCCCACTGGAACTGATGATGGGGCACTATTCCTTCCACTGATACTGATGATGGGGCACTATTCCTCCCACTGATACTGATGATGGGGCACTATTCCCCCCACTGTTACCAATGATGGGACACTATTCCTCCCACTGATACCGATGATAGGGCACTATTCCTCCCACTGATACCGATGACGGGGCACTATTCCTCCCACTGACACCGATGATGGAGCACTATTCCTCCCACTGATACCAATGATGGGGCACTATTCCTTCCACTGATACCAATGATGGGGCACTATTCCTCCCACTGATACCAATGATGGGGCACTATTCCTCCTACTAATACCAATGATGGGGCACTATTCCTCCTACTAATACCAATGATGGGGCACTATTCCTCCCAGTAATAACAATGATGGGGCGCTATTCCTCCCACTGGAACTGATGATGGGGCACTATTCCTCCCACTGATACCAATGATGGGGCACTATTCCTCCCACTGATACCAATGATGGGGCACTATTCCTCCCACTGATACCAATGATGGGGCACTATTCCTCCCACTGATACCAATGATGGGGCACTATTCTTCCCACTGATACCAATGATGGGACACTATTCCTCCCACTGATACCAATGATGGGACACTATTCCTCCCCACTGATACCAATGATGGGGCACTATTCCTCCCACTGATACCAATGATGGGGCACTATTCCTCCCACTGATACCAATGATGGGGAACTATTCCTCCCACTGATACCAATGATGGGACACTATTCCTCCCACTGATACCAATGATGGGACACTATTCCTCCCACTAATACCAATGATGGGGCACTATTCCTCCACTGATACCAATGATGGGGCACTATTCCTTCCACTAACACTAATGATGGGGCACTATTCCTCCCACTAACACCAATGGTGGGGCACTATTCCTCCTACTGATACCAATGATGGGGCACTATTCCTTCCACTGATACAATGATGGGGCACTATTCCTCCCAGTAATACCAATGATGGGGCACTATTCCTCCTACTAATACCAATGATGGGGCACTATTCCTCCTACTAATACCAATGATGGGGCACTAACATTCCCCCT